GTGCCCTCTTCTGGCCTGCAGGCATACAAGCAGACAGAATACTGTATAAATAATAAATAAATACATATTTAAAAAAAAAAGAAAACTTAGGTATTTTTATATGTCCTATGCTGCCGATCTCGGGGAAGTTAAAATACCACAATTTGTGGAGTACATCCAGAATACACAAATTTAATTCCTACTTACCTGATAGAGACTCAAACCCAGAATCATGGACAGGGAGCTACATGAAGTCTTTTTCTAGAATGAGTTAATACTGTATATAACCATTAGTGTCATAAAAGAAAGTTACATATATATATATATATATCTTAAAATTTTTAAGATAATATTTATATCTTAAGAAAAATCTTAGAGTCAAAATAAAACCAAAGACTTATGAGATTAGTGGCAATAGAACAATCCCTTAATTTTGGTTTTTCTTCTGTGCCATATCAAGACCATAGAATAACAGGTAAACACATAAACACACCTCACTCTGAGCAGCACTGACTCAAGTCTGAGCCCCTCGATTTGTCTCTGTTTCCTTTCTATCCACTCCTAGGTGACTTGACATAAGGTAAGGCTGAATCTTGTGCCGTTCTGTCTCTGGTTTTTCACGTCTGTCTTCTTTACAAAGGGCAGTCTGTGTAACTAACTATACTAAAGAACATAACTCCTCAGCATCCCTTGACAACTGTTGACTAGCAATGGGCATGCGGTTGTATTAGCTCTGCCCCCAAATAACCCAAGGTATGCCAGAGAACACCTCCTGGAAGGCTCACATACTCTTCCTGAATAAATATTTACATATGTAAATATTTAATGGGACACTTGGTGCAGAGTTTAGCAGAGCCATGAAGAGTTTGTACCCTAGCTACAACCTTTCTCAGAAGAGAGAGTATAACCCTTACATTAAACCTCATTGAAATGGAAAACAGAGAAATCAATGTCTGAGCTGTCAGACACTCAAAGAAATATATACACTTCCAAAGTATCATTTTTATATAATTTTAAATCTCTGAATGCTTTATTGTTGCTTTAAATATCCACTATACATAAACTCCAGGTTCACAAATATTTACCATGACTCATACATATATTTGTTGAGATATTAGATTTCTGTGTTTCAGCTTACCTTAATATACTAAAATCTCATTTCTAAAGTATGTCTATTGCTTCCCGGGAACTGGTAGTATATTCGGGTTTTCAATCAACTGGTTTCCTTGGTTGGATTGACTATAAATCTGTTGACATATATTGATGACGACTCCTCATTTTCTTGCCCAGGGATCACTTCTTCTACTCATTTATTTTCAATTTCTCTACTTTCTTATTTGACAGTATCACATGAGCAACAAAACAGAGCCCTCTAAGCTCACAAGAGCTGGAATAAACTAATTAGCTGACTTTCTGATGGAGACTAGTCCCCTCCCATGTACCACAGCTTATACAGGAAACAGGAAAAAGCCAGCTCTTTGCACGCTGAGGCAATACCTTCATTCAAAAAAGCTCCCGTGTAGCACCTAGACATCAGCTCACATAGGACATTGTTCGGAATCAGAAACTGTCAATTTGGGGGTAAGGTTCAATTTAAAAACACCCTCCCTCAAGGATGGGTTTCGAGTTAAGACAACTCTTGATCTTCTTTTATAGTTAGCAGAAAGAAACCCAGCCCTTTAATAAGACGAGAGACCTTCTGACAGAAAAGGCTGTGTTCAACTGGAACGGAGGCAGTTGGGGAAGTTCCCCACAGGCAGAAGTGCCGGAAGCACTGGGGTGTTACTAACGAACACTAAATAGAAGTGTTGAATCATTGGCTATGCCGAGAAGATTCAGAAATAAGAGTGGAAATCAGTGCTGGCTCATTTCATGAGCAGTGGGCCTGACAACCCCCACTGCTGAGAACTCCTCTGTCAAGAGCGCAGGCCTGGCTTGCCTACTCAGGTTGTGGCCGTCTGGACCCAGCAGGAAAAAAAGCCTGCTCTTCTCTGTGGATTCTTTTTTGTTTTTTGTTTGTTTGTTTGTTTTGGTTTTTTTTTTTTTTTTTTGTTTTTGAGACAGGGTTTCTCCGTAGCTTTTTGGTTCCTGTCCTGGAACTAGCTCTTGTAGACCAGGCTGGCCTCGAACTCACAGAGATCCGCCTGACTCTGCCTCCCAAGTGCTGGGATTAAAGGCGTGCACCACCACCACCCGGCTTCTCCGTGGATTCTTGAATAACCAGGTAGCCACACAGGGCATCTAGACACCAAGGTTACCCTGATTCCATTTTGGTCAGATGTCACTCAGTACTACACACTTTGATTTTCTTGTGTGTCCTACCAAAAATTTAGTCAAAATGTATACAATACTTAAACAAATGGGAGACGCCAAAATGATTCCCACAGCCTCACGGTTTTTTTCTATGGAAGTAGTTCACGAACTTTCGCGACGATTTTCAGTGCTGAAACATCTCAGTGCAAAAGATCACCAACTACACCGTAGCTGAAATATCACAGACAAAACAAACGAAGTGCTGAAATGTCACCTGCGCTCTCTCCCCCGTGGCTACGATATATACCTTATAAATCTAGGATACACGTTGAATTATGACCCACCGACGTCGTATGCATAAATACCCCTACAAAAGAAAACACTACACATTTTAACAGTTTGCTTCAAACTTTAATGTTCTGCAGATGGCATCCAGATCTTAAAATGTATGGAAGGGTGCTTTGCAGCTCTTCCTAAATATAAATAAGGCATCCATCTAACTCGCGAGTGGCAAAGGCTCGTCCTATTCCTGATGAATACGCTTAACACCCATGACTGCAAGTGAAAGTTATAAGGATATGCTATAATAAAACATGGCGCCCCGTCTACGGATAATGGGAAGTAATCCATTCCATGAAAAACAACCATTAACTTGCCGTCTTCTCTCACTGCTGCCCCTGTTACTATGGTGCTTAGGAATACTTATAGATTGAAAAATACCTGTAGATTGAGATCGATAAAGTTATATTTCACATTGATCCAGAAAGAAATTTTCAAGAATACTGTATTTCAGAAGAGACAATGAAGGCAAAACTGCGTTGTGTGAGTGTGTGTGTCTGTGTGTGCATGCATGTGTGTGCCTATGTGTGTGTGTGTGTGTGTGCCTTTGTGGGTGCCTGTGTCTATGTTTGTGCCTGTATGTGTGATGTGTGTGTATGTGTGTGTGTGCCTGTGTCTATGTGTGCGCCTGTATATGTGGTGTGTGTGTGCGCGCGCGCGTCAGAAGAGAATATCATGTGTCCTCGTAAATCCCTGTCTGCCTTACTCCTTCCCTTTAAGCCAGAGTCTCTCACTGAACACGGACCAAAACGGGAAACCAGGAGCCCTAGCAAACCCTCTGTTGCTAGCTACTCCCACAGCATTGGAGCTGCAGGCGTGCATGTGTCTACACCTAGCTTTTCACACTAATGATGTAAGCCAAACGCAGGTCCTCTCGCTTGCACAGGAAGCATCCTTGCCCACTGAGCCATCTCTCCAGCCCAGACCTTCTATCACTGTACAAGAAACACAGAAGAAATTGAGCAGACACTCGCTTGGAGATGGCGTGGGGGAATGTGTAGTCAACATATCTGAGCAAACAGGAGCCCGAAAGCATCCACGTGTTATCATAAAAAAAAAACATTAGAAAACAGAACTGCTAATGGCAGCGGAAGTGTTTCCTTTTAGAATATATGGTGTTTCATTTTCCTTAAGTTTAAATTTCACAAATCATTCCTTCTTTTTTTTGACTTTTTATCGATTCTTTTCATCGATTTCCTGCCGATCCCATTCATCCCTCCTTACCCTCGCTTCTGCCTTCTGCCCTTGTAATATCCCACTCCCCGCAAAGTAAAATTTAAAAGTAAAATCATAAAAAAAAAAAACAATCCAAACCAAACAAACGAAAGTCGTGGTGTGGAAGCTGCTGTGTGGTCCAGAGAGTCACACAGTATCTCTTTAGTTCATACATCTTTCACTGTAAGTTCATTGCGATGAGTCTCACCTGGTTCCAGGTCTCTGACTTTTGCTGTACTATTGATGCTGGGCCCTCACTGGGGCTCCTCTTGGATAGCCTACTGTTGCCGTGTGTCAAGGAGATCCTGCAGCTTTGGTTCTGCGGGTCGGGTCCCATCGCACACTCCAGCTGTTCGAAATACGGTGGATGTTGGGCTGGGCTAGCTCATAGCCCTGGTTCTGAGCCTGGATTGGTCACCCCGCTAGCTTTCCCTCCACACCTGGGTGAGCTTTCCAGCACAGACAGTAGGGAGCGGGGCCAGATCTGCGCACACAACCCTGGGTCCTGCTTCCCTGCCCTCACACCCCCCAGTGCCAGCTCCACTGTTTTGCCCAAGCGAGGTGTAGGACCGTATGGATCGAAATAAATAGATGTGACTATCTATATAAGCGATCCTAAAACAATCTCCAATTGCATTATTGTGGCAATGAAAATGTATGGTGCAAAAAGGAAAAAAAAAACCTTCGCACTCACAATATATTATAAAAATGCCTGACAGAATGCATTTGCTGACATCTGCATTTGGTCTAGAAAATATTTAACAATTGAACACAGCCATCTTTTAACTTAGCCCTCATGTTGAGAAGTATCGAGACATTTGAGAAATCTGCTCTCAGAGAAGTTATGCTTTGAAATTGAAAAAAAAATCGAGAATTTCTTCTTGGATTGTTTTTATGATAAACGTACAGGCTCTATGCAAGGAGAATTAAAGCTACCTGACAACTCATGGCCACATCAGTGGCTGTTAAAGATGTAGGAAATTGCATAAAAGCCTGAAAAAGCTCAGGGTAATTTTGCAGTTTCATCTCTAAACACAGTTGTGAAGACGTCTGTCTTTCAATGCTCTCTCCCTCTTTCCTCTGAGGCATGACCTTTTAGTCCTTGCTCTTTACAACCGCGTTTCCGACTGTAGCTTTTCTTGTTAATGTACGAGTTGATCTTACCCAGCGCAGAAGGTACTTACAGGGGCGCTTGCTTTTATCTGTATTCACAGAGAACGCTAACAAATTAGAAGAAAGTGCCAGAGAACACCACATTCCTTGCCCGGAACATTACAATGGTTTCTGCATGCACGGGAAGTGTGAACATTCCATCAACATGCAGGAGCCATCTTGCAGGTAACATTTCCTTGGTTAAACTTTTAAAAGGCATAAAGTTGAAATGTAGAAACTCGCTTTTAAGTGTTAGCGGAAGATTGCTTTACATTCTGCCTAAGCAGGGGAACAACATTCAAGTTTCTGCCTCTCCTACACACACACACACACACACACACACACACACACACACACACACAGAGTGACGAAAAGATATGTGTAAACCTTATCCACTCAGTGTACAGCACACCCCTCTGTTCTTACAGTAGAATTTTATAGACATGGATCACTTTCTTCTGTTCACGGTTTTTCCTTCTGAATGTAGAGCTGAGATGGGCACTCCTCCCTTAGTATTTTTGGGGCGGTTATTTCCAAAACGCTCCAAATCGTCTATGAACTATACGATTTTGCTGGACACTCACTCTCTTTTTCTACTGAGCCTAGGATCAGGAGACGATTGGCCGCCATGCCTCCAGTGCAAACTCAGAAGAGACAGAAAGAAATTGCTTGTCTGGGCTTAGTTTATACATACAGTTTATAAATATCTACTCGTGTCTAGAACATACAGAGATTCTTTCTGAGATGCCAAATTCAAATAAAAACATATTTATATTTAAATTAATGTACACTGGAGTATGATGAAATGAAGAAACAACACTGTTTGGGTCTCTTTCTCCACCTGCCCCTCTGTCTCTGCTTCTCTTTGTCCGTCTGCCTCTCTCTGCCTGTCTTTCACCCACAGCTGCCTTCCATACCTGTTTCCTTTCCCAGAACACCCTGGGACACGCCTGTTCTTCAACAGACAGAGTGAACATGACACACAGAGAGCTCTGCTGTCCCTCCCTCTGCAGCAGTTATTAAATTACACCCTCCAGAGACCCGTGGAAAAGTCCTCAGGATGTAGTTGCAAGAAATTCAGAGTCAAGTGCGAAAGGCTTTCCACAGAGCAACGACATATTGATCCAAATTAGTATATTTTGATCAAATGCTTATTTCAACATGAAAATTGCCTATCTGAACTTCTGGTTGGGAGGCTGAGTGAGTGAGAAGCAAGATCCAGTCTAATAGCATGTTCACACTGCTTGTTTGTATACATGTATTGTCTGCACCCAAGATTTTTCTCTTCAAAACATTTGAAGAGAATTTCAAGAACATTATTCTGTTCAAAACTAAGACCTTTAAGACTTTATGGCCATCCAGTTTAAGAAATTGCTCCTGCTGTATCTCTGACTGACTCGAGATTTTTTTCAGCATTTTTTTTTTTTTGGTGTCTAAAACAGCCGTATAGTTTTCGCACCGCGTCATTAAGCAACACATATCCATGTTAAGCGAGGTTAACGGAACAAATTAAGAGCACAGAGTTCCGGGCCACGGGTGACCAGATGCTGTCCTTCCTTCCAGATGTGATGCTGGCTACACTGGTCAGCACTGTGAGAAAAAGGACTACAGAGTCCTCTACGTTGTGCCCGGCCCTGTCCGATTTCAGTACGTCTTGATTGCAGCGGTGATCGGAACGGTTCAGATCGCTGTCATCTGCGTGGTGGTCCTCTGTATCACAAGGTCAGTAACCGTACTTGGGCATCACCCAAGCTGAGGGCAGCGCTTGTCCCTCCCTTTGACTCCGAGTCTCTTGGTGGACTGACTGTAGCCATCCATTCCCCGGGAGTCCTAGCTCCTCCCCGTGAGAACATTTCAGTAGCCACGTGGGCAAGGCATGGGTTTTCCTACAGGACAGGCACAACTTGTTTCACTCATTTTTATATTAAGATGAGTATTGTTTATGTCCTAAGACTATTTTCCTCTCTAACAGAGAATGTCCACATCTTTTTCAACACTCTGTAAAAGGCCACTTTTCATTCAAATTATGAAGCACTAACTTTACCTACCAGAATCGCTCAGCCCAAAGTGATAATAGCTGTTATATAAGGTGTAGAAAAGCTTCAATTCTAGCCCTCATTAAACACATTTCATTTCCAAGTAGAACATTTGGACACCATCAGTGTTAACACACCTGGTGTCAACAACAAACACCTTTTCACTTTAGCATGGTAAGTGCTAATCACAGTGATTTCAATGCAACGGGAAAAAGTGTGTTCTACTAAATGAAAACCTTCGATATATTTTCGAAAGAGCGGCAAATATCATAGCTTAATAGCAAATTCCAAGCCCAGAAAAAAAGGTAATTTTTATTTGAACAGGGATGAGATCGCAAGAGAATAGAGATTTCATCCAGTTTCAACCAGAAATTGAGCCATGATTCCTGGGTGATGGCTGAGGTTCATTTTGAGACAAGGAGCAAAGTCAGGGATTTGTTTGACTTCTTGAGTGTGTAAGCGCGTGGTCGGCAAGAACTAGATTCTAAACCCAATGCATCATTTATGTCTTGTGGCAGCCAAAAGGCCAGTGTAGATCTGTTTAAAAAAAAAAAGAAAGAAAAAAAACCTGAATTTACTCTCTTTTTTAAATGTCCAAAGTAACTCTTTGAGGTTTTTTTTTAATCACATCTATAAGACATGAAGACTTTCATTCATTTCTACAGTTCTATAGTAAATCTGAGACTTTCCCCAAAAATGGGAAAATAAGAAGCATTATGAAATTAAAACATAAAGACTGTAATGTTCCTTGGCATTTGTATGATGCTACCTTCTTTGAAGACAAGTGTGGGATCTGCTCTTTAAAAAGAGAAAGTGTAGCTCACAAATCCTCACCCAGCCTACAGGCATAAGGGGAGATCATCACTGGAGCTTGGGGCAACCCTAAGCCAAGTTGAGTCCATCATCTTGACTCTCAGGTTTAGATGCCAAGCGAGCCAGTGGGTTGTATGAAAATATGTGCAGCTGACTTAAAAACAACTTGAAAACCAAAAGTACTGAGCACAAAATGAAAAGACAAAGAAGAATCTGAGACACCGAAAACTGTACCAGACATCCCTAAGGGCACATAGAAAAACAAAACTAGTATAAATATTCACACAATAACAACTTGATTGCTGTCTCGTAGAGTGGAGAAACTCAGAATTTCAATACTTCAAACGTCTTCAAAATAAGCTATTAATCACAGTTTTCATTCCTAAGTTTAATGGAATATATAGACTATTTTGCCAGGATTTTGTATTTAGATGCTATAATTTTGTCATATGTTTATATATTCATATGTCTGATTGCACAAATGCACATGTGTACACACTTTACGACATTACAAACAAAACAAAACAACAGTTATCCTCACTCTCAAGGTGGAGACCCTGAAACATGAGATGTTATCACATACTGAGATTATGCAGCTGAGTCACGAACTCAAAATGCTCTCCAGCCTGTCTACTGCTTTAACTTTGCACTTAATGTTGCCTCTCTGCTCCTAGCTGCTCATAGTTTTGTGTGTGCTTCTGTTGTGGACTAAGCTCCCAGTTTGAGTAAGCTATGTCTGCTATATTTTCAATGAATATGTCTTTTTTTCCTCTTATTTTCCATGCAAAACTAAGCAACAGCAAAAAATTAAAACCAATACTCAAAAAGCCCCGTGTTGGGCGCCAATTTAAGGGGCGTGGTCAATCAGTATTTAGAATTATCCAGGCCAGTTTAATATAATAGATTCAGATTTTAATAAACGGAAGAAAGAGAACAGGGTTCCAGTGATCCAGGAGCACAGGGAACAAAAGGGCAGAGGCAAAGGCACCTGGACGTTTTATCAGTTTTTCTGTGGCCCCAGGGGGACACACCCTAAACAGAATGTGATTGGCTGAAGTTCCCCATTGCTATCTGATTTAGGGGAAGAGAAATAGCATGTCAGCCATGCCTGCATTGTTATCATAATTATCTAACCCTCCCCCTTGTACAATCAAACCTTTGAAACACAATACAGGAAAAGTTTGAATCCATATGTCACACCATTGTCCAGGGTAGACTCATCCCATTCATTAAAAGACAGTATGCTTACAAACCAGACTCCCTAACTGGACCCACCACTGACCCCAAGAAGCCCTGTTTGCCTGCTGACCTGGCTAATCTTGTCTGTCAAGAGCTATACCAAAGTGCCCAGATGCTGGAGAGTTTACAGCATTATCCCTAGCCTAGATGCCCCCATTGTCCTCAATTTTCTCTTAATGTTGATCTCATCTGGTCTGTTCTTTGTTCTGACTTCCTTTCCTTTCTCTCTTGTCCTACCCACTTCCACCCAAATCTGTTTCTCTTTTTTTTCTGTCTACTCAAGAACCTGCCTCCTGAGCAATATCTCATAAAAATATGAATATCTAGAGACCTGATCCCAAGTGAAAAGACTTGTCCCGTTGAGAAGGTGGACTGTCATCTTTTTTACTGTCATCTCCCACTTGTCGAAAATGTGACTGCTCAGATCCATGTTTGTTTTTGACAGATATATGGTCCCAGCAACTGCACAAAAATGGGACCACACCTACTATGTATGTGTGTGCACGTGTATGTATGTCTATATACATATTTTCCACTGTACCACCTGTAGCTGTAATAGAATTTTGTTAGTCTCATATTGTTCTTGCTTGCATGATCAAAGAAGTCTATTATTATAGTAAAAAAAAATACTAGATCAGTGAGTTTCTGATGTTACTGAATATTAGCTTTTATTATTATAGTAAAAAAAATACTAGATCAGTGAGTTTCTGATGTTACTGAATATTAGCTTTTTGTAGAAGCAACATAATTGGTACCAATTTTTGTCTCGAGTTTTATAGCATTAATGCAGTACAATGATATTAGGCCAAACCAAAGCAATATTCCTTTGCATTTACATATCGGGTATTATCAGCTGGTTTGTTCCAATGTGATAGCATCTTACCTTATAGCGCTGAAATGTCAATATAACACTCATCGTTAAGACATTTAGATAGAAAGTTGTTGAAGACATTTAAAGAGAGATGTGATAAGCTTGGCACTTGCTTGTTGGCCTTGTGTTGAGTCTGGTCATTGCACAATATAACGAACATACTTGAAGGAAGGAACAGAGAAGGGCGGGGTATTTCTCTTCAGCTTCTACTTCTGTTCTTCAATTTCCAACAGAAGCCTGAAAGACAACTGCAAGGAGAAGCAAATAATAACAAAATGAATGCAATAATAATAACTTTTACAAGTATTCCAAGGTTCTACTAGTGATCAGTATATTTTTACTCTGAGATACTTGACTATTTTGCCTCTACAGCCTCGCTCTTTGACTGTAGGACCGAACTTTAGGTAATCGCATTAGACTAAGATCTGTAAACTTTCCAACCTTCTAGGAAATGCCCCCGAAGCAACAGAATTCACAGACAGAAGCAAAATACAGGGCACTACAGTTCAGACAACACCACAAGAGCATCCACAAGGTTAATCTAGAGGGAGCATGTTTCCCAGTGGCCGGACAACTGACAGCTTGGACTACACAATACAGTATTAGAGACAAAAGAATAAGACGAGATCTACACATGTTGCCTTGCGTTTGTGGTAATCTACACCAATGAAAACATGTACTACAGCTATATTTGATTATGTATGGATATATTTGAAATAGTATACATTGTCTTGATGTTTTTTCTGTAATGTAAATAAACTATTTATATCAATCACACAATATAGTTTTTTCTTTCCCATGTATTTGTTATATATAATAAATACTCAGTGATGAGAAAAAAAAGGCATTCTTAAATTTGCAGTAATTTGTAGCTGTAACCCCTGTCCAGCCGACATAGGCTGTGCAGACAGCAGGCTTTCATCCTCTGTGCAGCTTCAGACAACACATTCATGTGCACAGGACTCTGGAGCTAGGTTTTGAGTGATTCCAAGAACAAGGGAAATGATGGTTATTGGAAAGAGAAAAAATTATTTACTGTATCAAGGAAGCATAAAATATGTCAGATACTGGGATCCTCTCTGCTTCATCTGCTTTCTTCCCTGTCTTTCGCTTTCATTTTCAGAAAAGAAAAATCTCTGGCATATAAATTAAATAAGTGGAGAAGGGAGGGAAAGTGTTTTATGACTCAAAATAGAATGCAAAGAAGATACTTGTCTTTATTGGGAGGCAGCCTAGCTCTCTCCGTCAAATACATCTGCCCTCGGGGATCTGAGTAAGGGATACCTTAGGTATATAAACAGTGGCCAAACCTGTTCAGCTTCTGTGAGCAGAAGTAGCAACTAGGAAGAAATTGTAACTGCCCCAGTAGGTGTGAGCCCAAATCTCAGTTTCCTAGATGAGCCTTGCCGCATGCTTTAATCCCAGCACTTGGGAGGCAAGAGCAAGCGAACCCCTGTGAGTTCGAAGCCAGCCTAGACTACAGATCTAGTTCTAGGACAGTTGAGATTTCACACATGCACACATGCACACACACACACACACACACACACACATACACACCTGTGTCAAAAAAAGTAAAAGAAAACTTTTGCTGTGTTTATATCTTCTATGAAAAGAAGGTAGACTTGCAAAAGAAAAATGCTCTCTTGAGCATTTATGCTCTTAGGGCCCAAAGAGCACTGTTGTTTGAAACTGAAAACCAAAAGACAATGTTTCATGACAATGGAGAAATATGTTTGGGGCATATTTAAGTAAGAAAATCCCTGAGAATCTAGGGAGCTTAGCGGGGGCTGTTGCCAACCTCTGTCAGATATGAGCAGACACTTATGAGTAATCACTGTTTGGGGGAAGTCAACTGTGAAAATTCTCAACGAATAAGATGAAATACCAAATTAAATAATTTCCTTATTATCGCTTACCTTTGGGTAGTTCTTGTAGCACCTAAGGATGATTTAAATAAAGCTTTCTTTGTCTTCCTCAAATGACTTCTTCATGAACTAGAGGAGATGGCATCCCCTTTGTTAGAAAACAAACGACACATCAAATCAAAATGGACTGGATATAAAATATTCTATTAAAAAAATAAGGGTTTCAAGTGAAACTTAAGGCATTTGTTAACATATAATAAAGGTGACAATCTATGTAAGACTTGGGGCCTTGAAAAATGTGATTTTCTAGATTGTCATAAGTTTGAAAAATGTGACTTTATTGACACAGCCGTCATTCAAGTGTCTCTATGAAATCACTCTCTTGACACCTGCAGACGACATATCCCTGCCAAGCTGCCAGGAAAGGTTCATTTGTTCGGCATACACAGAAGTGGAAGTAGCCCTAGTTTCCTTTGTATGTCAGTAGCTGTGGCAAATAAACCCTTTGTTCTCCCTAAAGAAGAGAACAAGAATGTACCACCCATGGCGGCATGTCCGTTCAAAGAAACTCTTCCACTGACTTTTGGTTACAAGTATATGAAATGACTGATTTTGTAGTAAGTTTATGCATCATTACATGTAAATTTTTATCAGCAATCATAAACACATCATTATATGTAAATTTTATCAGCGATCATAAACCTAAGTATTGGGAGAAGACCCTTATACCTTTCTTCCCACATCTGTGCTAACCTACAAAATGAATCCTAAATGTGATATTTTGGTTCCTAGGACAATACAACTAAAATGTGGTCCCGATTCACGGGAACACACAGTCCAGTACCAGCAGAATCTGCTGGCCTCTCCTAACTCATCTCTCATTCTTCGCCATGTGATTCTTGTGTCATTCTAGTTTTCTAGACCATTCTTCCTCACACCGAGTTAGAGCTCGCTGTCTGCAGTTTCTCTCACCTTGGCTCTTGCTGCTCCTCTCTAGGGCGAAGGAGCCATGCTGTGTCCTTAAACTATAGAGACAGAAACAAGTTTTCTTATTCACTCCAGAACGCTACACTTATGTTCTTCTCCAAGCAAACACTCGGAATTTCCTCTTCCGCTCTTCCCGCGACACCATCCCGCTTTCTCCCGGCATCCACTTTGTTTGCTCTCGACTGAACCTGCACGCTACTTTGTCAGAAGGCCCGCTGCAGCATGGAGCTTAAATGGCCCAGTCTAATAAAGAAATGCGATCTCATCTGTCCAACATACAGAACAGCTTGCAGAAAGCAAATGTATGAGTCGCCTCCCCTAATTTGTTGAATTCCTCCTGGGTCCCCAGTGCTACTAGGGAGCCCTGAGCCAAGCACCTCACATCTTTGAACTGAATTCTGACATATATATGTCAACCCATCACCTTAATCCTAAGCGCGTGCCTGTACAGAAAAAGGGACTTTATTTTTACTACTGCAATCAAAGACACATTAACTATTACGGTTGCTTACTATAAACATCAATTCAAATGGCTTTTAAATGAATACCTAAAGATCCCCTTCAGTTTACATTTACAACACATTCTGGATTTACTGAGGGTCAGAAATGACAACCCCCCTTCTATGCTGTGAAAATCTCCAAAGAAATCCTTACCTGAAAAGAACTCACTACCAAGCCATCTTGGTTCCTTGAATTACAGTTCCCAGAGACCAAGGGAGAGTCTGAGGTAAAGGAAGGACAACACGGGAGGTAACAAAGACTGTCCTTCCGGTCATAGCCTTGTGGTTGGGAATCCGCACCCTCCAGCATGTCCTCCAGACACCATTCTAGGGTCTTACTTCTGCCGTTTTGTACCCTCCACGCCATCCTCACAGCCCTGTCTCTACAACGCTCTGGGAAAATAAGGTTCTCACAGAAGCCCCCACGAACACGGGCCCATCTCCTGATCATGCTGGGGGACTTTCCATGCTGGGTGACATTTATCCATGCAAGTCAGTCTTTCCCTTAGCCTAACAGTGCCGTGAATCTAAAGATCCAAGGCTCACTAAAGTTTTTCACTTATTCTACAAGCATTGACTTGGTCTCTATCCAATGCCTGATACTATTGTTGACCTGTTGAACAGCATGAGGTAGGAACAGATCTCTACTTTCAGAGGAGGCGAAGGTGAGTGACAGACAAGGATTTATCAAGCCACTAAATAATAAAATAAAATAACCTTTAAGTTCTGCTTAGAGAATTAAAAAAGAGTGAGCTATTTCAGGATGTGGCTTCAAACTGAGTTTAATATCGAGAATTCGGCTTCTGAGATGAGGCAGATGTGGGTCCCGGCTTAAGGCCTACTTTATTACCTACTTAGCCTTGGGCAATTTGCCCAAGTTCCCTATGCCTCCTGTTTAAAATGGAGAAAGCAGCATCTTCCCGCACACAATGTGACGACTAAGAGAAATTGCATCAGTCGATGTTTGGGGGCTCGGAACACTGGCATCCACAGAGTAAAATGGAAATATATGGAAATCCTTTTGTAGAGCCGTGATAAATATTTATGGTAAAAGTAAACAGTTCTGATAAAGCATATTTTATCAGCAGAGTTATACATGATGGGAATCACACGGTCCGAGTTAGACAGAGTCCAGCTGTCACAGTCACTCAAAGGAGTGCTTCTTGTGTCTTAGCTGGTTTTAGTTCTGGAAAACAAGGGCGATATAGAGATCAAAGATCAAAAAGAATACAACTCAATTTCCCCCCAAATTCATCCATTAGTATCATGTCTGAACAGTCTGGTGGCAGGGGGCAGGGGGAGCATCATTCTTTTCCTTAAGATCCTGATAATGTTTGTAGCATCAAGCCCATTGTGTTTTAGGACCGGATGAGTCAGTACCACTCTGGCTGATCCTCGCAGAGAAGCCACTGCAGAGAATTGAACTATGACAAGGTTTATCTCAAAGTCACATTAGACCCTGCTAATGCTTGTCCTCGGGACGCTGTTTCCATTTGCCAAGTCGGGCTGCACCTGTATGGACTGCTCTTCCTCAATTACAGGAGACATTTCACTTACATAATTAATCATATGGATATCAATAATGAAAGCTTCTTCATTGAATTAATTGATATCTCTATATGAGCATCCACAGGAAGCACCCATAAAAGACAGAGGAAGGATGAAGGGTTATATGAAGTAATGGGATTAGTTTTATAACCAGAACATAAATCTATGACTGAACATGGCCCTCTGAAGGCAACAGCAGAACATATACAAGATGTGCTGATATCCAGTCTCACCGTGGTTGGAAATCTGCTTTACTGGTCCAGCTATTCTTGGGATACAAGCTAGGTTGAGCTTCATGAATGGTATATAGGCTAACTTGAATTTCCTGTTTCCTTTCAGTTTTTCAGTAAGTTGTCATTACTAACCTCCCATGAGGTAAGAAGTGAAAGAAATAGCTTTTGCCTTTGTTGTTCCTAGTCCAGAAAGGGCAAAAGCTTACATGAGCTAACAGAACAAAATCAGTTACTGTCGGGGGGGACGAACAAAAGGACATGTCGCAGTAGACCAGGTCCTGTACTGAGCCTTCCTAATCCAGTAAAGGTACTGGCTCCACATGAGGCGTGGGCACCATAGCCATCCAGAGAAAACAGCTCCCAGGACCCCCACAATCAAACCCATTCTTCGGGGTGTATTTTGAGATGACTGCATGCCCTTACACCCCATGGATGTCTCCTCTCGGCGGACTTCCTCTCATTCTCAGAATGGTAACCACCTCTTTTATGCACAGCAGGGAGCATCCATCTTTGTTGCAGCCCTTGGAGGCACAGTCTCCAGCTTAGTCCTCCATGACCTTAGACGTAGAGAATAGGAGTCTTTTACAGGAGTCCAGCTCTTCATGAACACAAAGCACAGAGCAATGCCCCAGATTGTCATCACTGTATATCAGGTAATTTAATAAATAGATTAAGAAAGAATGCTCAGATGATGATTGAGATTAGAATATGTAGCCAAACACAAACAAAACATAATCATATAAAAGCCAAGAAAAAAATCATTGTATTTGTGGATATCATTGGATATCAATTCTGATAATTTCTAT